CTCCTCCCCGAGGTCTCCCAGGCCCTCGGCTCACAGGCGGTTCCAGGTTTCCCAGGTCCACCCTGGGCTCTCTGGCCCCCATCCCAGTCCTGGTCCAGCCCAGCCTGATCCTCACACCTACCCCAGCCCCTCCCTGGGATCCCCGGGCCATTCCTGGTCTGGCCGGGGCAGGAGTGAGTGGCTGCCTCCAGAGGTGACCCAGGCAGAGCCAGACCCCAGGCCCCAGCTTCCCCAGGTCTACGGGGACTTGGGCTCAGGAAGCCCCCAGGCCAGGGAGACTCACGCCAACTGCCAGCCCTCCTCTGTAGGTCCATTTCAGGCCTGGACCGGTTTCTACACGTCCCGCAGCAGGCTCAAGAGGCTGGCAAGGCGAGCCAGCGCTCTGTTGTACGCCGGGGAGTCCATGTTCACACGCTCCGTGTGGCCGGCCCCCCACCAGCACCTGGACCTGGACTGGGCCCTGAAACAGCTCAAGCAGCTCCGCTGGGCGGTCTCCGAGGTAATGGCACACCTCTCAGCAACACGATCGGGTTGGAAACCTCCCGTGCAGTGCGCTTCCCCAGCCCGTGGTCACTAGAGGTCCACTTTCCAAACAGAACACCCAGGGGGCCTGTGGTCGCATGGCAGGCGCACGTGGACACTGTGGTCGCATGACAGGCGCATGTGGACACTGTGGTCGCATGACAGGCGCATGTGGACACTGTGGTCGCATGGCAGGCGCATGTGGACACTGTGGTCGCATGGCAGGCGCATGTGGACATTGTGGTCGCATGGCAGGCGCATGTGGACATCGTGGTCGCATGGCAGGCGCATGTGGACACCGGGCCAAGGCTAGAACCATGGTCTGACAGCCTTCAGCTGGTGGCTTCAGTGGCTTTACAGCCAAATTTATCCAGAGTGCAAAGGGCAAAGAAGAGAAGCATTGGTGTCTACAGTCCTGTGTGGGTCCAGTCCCCCTCCACTGTGTGGCCTCAGGCTTGGGACTTCCCTCTCTGGGCCCTAATTCCCTCCCTGTACAGTGAGAAGCTCGTGCCCACCCCAGGATGGTGGGGCAGCTGAATGTCAGAATGTACATAACCTGCTCGGCATAACCCCATAGCAAGTTGTTCCCAATTTTCTGTCTCCACTCGTCCCCCACTGAACAGACGGGAAAACTGAGACCCCAGAAATCCTGTAACTTGTCATCACCCAGCCAGAAAGGGGCCATGCTGGCCATGGCCTTGGCACACTCACCGGAAGGGCATTGACGGCAGAACGTGTCACCGTGTTGGGGGTGAAATGGGCAGACTTTAGAGTCCATTGGAGTGAGCGGGACACATGGCTTCAGCTGGTGGGGCCTCAGTTTCCCTGTGGGGAAGGAGCTCATCCCACCCCCATTTTGGACAGAGAATGGAGGGTGCCTGGAGAATCCCAGTGGCACTCGCAGGAACACTGCACCGTGGAGGTGAAGCTGGGGCGGGTCCCTTGCAGATGTCTGTTTTCAGCCCACGTTAGGGGACTCAGTGGGGTTCTGCAAGGTCATCAGTCCCTCTGAGCCTCAATTTCCTGTTCTGGAATGTGCTCGGGACCCTCACCTGCTCCACTAGCAGCTGGTGAGAAGGAAGGAGAGCCAGCGCCTTGGAGGTGGTTTGCGGAGGCAGGCCTGATCCCGCGTTTCCCCCACTGTGGTCGGGATGCAGGCTCAGCACCACCACGCCATCACTGGGACTGAGACCCCCAAGGTGAGAGACACGTACGTGAAGAATCTGCGGTCAGGGATGCAGGGTGTGCGCAAACTGATGGCCTCCATCGTCCAGGATAGGACCCCTGCCTTCACAGGTACACGAGGCCCCTATGGCACGTCCCTGCCGCTGCGGGAGGGGGGCTGACCCTTTCTGAGCAGAGAGCCTGTGGGTCTCGGGGTGGACCTGCACAACCCAAGCCTCAGACTCTGCAACCACATCCCTTGTGCCCCACGGACCCTTGGTCTGAGCTTGGCATGTGCCTTGACTGTTGGGAGCCTCCCTGTCCTGTCTGTGATGGGAAGAAGGGGAGGTTACCACGTGAGCCAACTCAGTATGGAATTTGCTCAGAGCTCAGCCCGCAGTGTTTACTGCAGTGCGTGGAGAGTCTGTAAGCTAGGGGGTGCTATTTTCCTCACTGTGTAGCTGAGGACACAGCAGAAACAGAGAGCTTGTGGACATGCCCAGGGTCATCCAGCTAGGAAGGAACAGAGCGGGGATTGAACCCAGGGACTGTGCTCAGTATTGCAGAGGATGCAGGTGTCCTCGGGGACCTGAGCCCAGCCTGGATTCCCCAACTCCCTCCTAAGCTCAGTTTGGGTGCTGATGTCCGACCCTTTGACAGCGAAGGGTTCACACGTGTGGAGTAACTGATCATGCCAGCTTGAAGCTGAGCAATTGTGAACCAGGAAGTCCTAGGAGCACCGGGACACCTCGGCCTCCCTCCCTGTGCCTGATGTCATGAGCACAGGGCCTGCTGCCCCTTCCCCAGCTCCCACCTCAGCCTGCGCTCTGTCATGGTGCACCCCTCACATCTGACCTCCCTGCTCACCTGGCCTGCTCGTCCCTCCCCTCTGTGTCTGTGTGCAATGCCGTCTGACCTTCAGACCGGGGAAGGCCCCCGGGGACCACGCACGCAGCACACAGTCCCAGCCCACAGACCCTGGGGTTGGCTGGGCGAGACAGCTGCAGCAGAGCTGGAACCGGGGTCTGATTTCCCTGCCAGGTGGTGCCGTCCATTCCCATGACCTCACCAGGGAGGCTTGCCCGAGCAGTGAACGGGTGGAGGTCAGGAAAGGTGTCCCAGCCACAGGGAACAGGCTGGGCAGGGGCAGGGGGCTGGAAAGTGTGTGATGTGTTCAGGGGTCCAGGAATCATCAGACATGGCCAGAGTTTACCTTACCGGGGGTAAAGGACGGAACACACATGGGACCCAGGGCCACATCGCTGGGGCTCAAACGCTGGGCTAGGCGATTGGAGTGGACCCTCCAGCCTTCTGAGAATTCTCCAGTCCTTCCCAGTGCCAAGCATTCAAAACTTGGGAGCCACACCTTAGTGGCAGGTCAGTTTGGGCAGGTGACTGTCCTTCTCCGGGCCTCAGTTCCCTGGTCAGTCAGTCCAGTGGGGCTGTCAGGGAATGATGTGTCAGGAACACAGGGACCCTCACTGTCCAGAGGGACACGGAGTGATCCCTTCCATCCTCCCCTGCCTGGGGACTGGACACAGAGCCCTGAGCAGAGTATGGGGCCTGCTGGGCATAGGAGCGCACTAGCCCACTGGTCCCTATATTCAGCTGCCCTGGCAGCTCTGCAGGGCTGTGTCTCCTGCCTCAGTTTCCCACGTAGCCAGGGGCCCCCAGAGGTGCTGGGTGAGTCCAATGGCAGCAGGTAACGCCGGTTCTGTGTGTGCAGACCCAGGAGCTGGGGGACACGTTGCCGTGGTCTACAACCCCCTGGCCTGGACGGTCACCACCCTTGTCCCCCTGACTGTGGGCTTCTCCAGGGTCAACGTCACAGACGAGTCCGGCCGGCCAGTGACTGCACAGGTATGGCCATGACAGCGTGCACGGGGCACGCTCGCTGTTGCCGACAGCTGTTCTGGGAGGGCACTTCCAGAAATGGGAGCAGGTCACGTGAACATGTGACCCTGGGGGCCCACTTGGGGGACAGCCCCATGGGGACCCTTCTCCAGTAGGGCCTGTGGGATCCGCCAAGGGACTGACACTGGGCTATGAGCATCCCGCCGCTGTCCCCTCCCTGGAGGGTCTCCTGGGTGGTCTGCCCTGGTTGGGAGGCTTCTCCTCGCCCCCCTGCCATGGGGCATATTTATATTCTCATGTAAACGGCCACTTTCTGTGGAAAGGCCCTCAGGGGTCTTCAGAGGGGCGCTTTGTGGAGGCGCTGATGTTGCAGGCTGGCCCAGCTGCCTGTGTCCACACACGCAGATACCAGGATGTGTGTGGTCTGTCTTCCTTTCCTTCCACGGCCTGGAGCCAGCAGGGGGGCCCCAGGGACCCTGCCTGTCCCCCAGGGCCAGTGTTTCCCTGGCAGGTGAGGCGGTACTGACATGAGCCACTCAGCAAACACTCGCGAGGGCGCATTCTGGTCCAGCCAGGGCTGAGTGCTCACGCCCTGGACAGCAGTGCCACCACGGGGAGGGGCGCTCAGACACTTAAAGGACGTGTGTGGTGTGGAGTGATGACCCAGGGAGCCAGGGTAGCAGGCCTTGGTTGATGCCGAAGGAGGAGGAGTTCATCGAGCTGGGCAGGGAGACGGGACGGTGTTGGTTTCAGCAGACCCAACCCCTGGCACCCCCTTCTTCACCCACACGCAACACCACGCAGAGTAAATGCACTCAACAAATATTTTGGAGACCTGCTGTGTGTCAGGCCCTGCCCTAGGTGCCGGGCTTCCTTAATAACCAAGCCCATGAAGTCCCCGTCAGCAGGGAACTCATATTCTCGCCCTGGGTGACAGGCAGGAAACCAAGTAAGAGCATGTTAATGTGACAGCTGATGGTGATGGGGGCAGGGACAAAGTGTCTGCTGTATGTCCGACACAGCCTGGGTGGGACGGTGTGTGCAGCCATTCTGGGGTTCCTAATAGGGCCCCCAAGGTTCCCACAAGGGCTCAGATGCTGCATGCTTCCCCAGGAGAGTGGGGGGCTCGGCTGAGTGTGCCCAGTGTCCTCCTCCATCCCTCCCAGTTCAGGTGACAGAGGGTTGGGGAAGGCCAGGAGGGTGAACAGGAAAATGCCCCCTTGGGGAAATTGGGAGGTTGTGAAATAAGATGTGTTCAGGGGTCTTTGGAGAGAAGGTCCTCCAGGGATAGGGATAGGGTCTCTCTTTGGAGAGAAGGCCCTCCAGGGATAGGGAACAGCATGAGCAGTGGCTCAGAGGCAGGAGAGAGCAGGGGTGCTGAGAAGGGAGGGCAGTTGCTGATGCTGGAGTCTGAGGAGTGGGGGAGGCCAGGGAGGGAGACGGGGCTGGGGCAGGATCCTGTTGAGCAGGGAGGATGCCTGGAGGGAACTCAGCAGGGTCCAATGATGGAAAGACCCTGCCGCCTGTGAGTAGTGAGCACCCTGCCCAGGAGGTGTGCAAGTCACAGGTTACTGAGAACACAGACCCACCATTTTGTTTTGTTCTGCTGGCCTTGCAGGTCCAGGAATCAAAGGAGAAGCAACCTGCTTACAACTTGCATGTGCTGACCACAATCCCAGGCCTCAGTTACCGACACTACAGCATCACGCGCACCCGGGGGACCCAAGTAGACACCAAGCCATTGGGTGCCAGTCTGGCTAGAACCTCCAACTTTGGCCGCAAGACAGAGACACATGCTGGTGCAGGGGGCAGGCACCTAATTCGTGTGGAGAATGACTGTTACACTGTGTTCTTGGACCGGGACACTAACCTGATGCACAGCATCTTGGAGAGGTGAGGCACAGCCATTGCTGCCTCTGAGGCGGAGGCGTGCACTGGGACATGGGCATGTATCCCCCCACCTGCCTCTGTGTCCTCACCTGCCCGGGGAACCTCCTGGAGGTGGTGAAGGCCCTTCGTGTGTTTCCATTTTTATTTCTGCAATTGTGGGACTAGACCAGTACAAGAAAGCCCTTCATGAATCTTATCATTCCAGGGCTGTTGATCCACAAAGTGGTTGTTGAAGACCCACTCAGGGAGAATATGTAATATTCACTTTATTCACTATCTTAAATTTAAAGAAACATATAACCATCCATGTACCCACCCACCCAATAACCACTCATCCATCCATCAGCTTACCCATCATCTACCCACTCACCCTTCCATCCATCCATCCTTCCATCCATCCATCCATCCATCCATCCATCCATCCATCCATCCAATCAACCAACCAACCACTATCGTTCTTGTTCATCCATTTATCCAACCGACCACCCATCCACCTACTAACCCCCACAACCATCCATATAACCACACATCAAACCACCCATCCACCCACCCATCTACCCATTTCACACACCCTCCCATCCATCTATCCTCCATCCACCCACCCATCCAACCACCAATCCTTCCATTCATCCATTATCCTCTCACTCATCTATATATTTTTCCAACCGCACATCCATCCATCCATCCATCCATCCATCCATCCATCCACTCACTCACTCAACCATCCACCCATCCATCCACTCACCTTCCCATCCATCCATATATCCACTCACCCATATACTTAACAACACACCCTTCCGTCCATCCACTTACCTTCCCATCCATCCATATATCCACCTACTTATCCACTCATTCACACCCACACACATATATCCACTTACCATTCGATCTATCCAAGCCTGCACCTATCCATGTATCTGTTTATCTGTCATCCATCCATCCATCCATCCAACCATCAATCCATCCATCCATCCATCCATCTATCCATCCACCCACTAACCTTGTTTATCCATCTATCCAACCATCCACCCATCCATCCTACACCTCACCCTCCCATCCAACCATCCAT